CGTTGTCCACTGTGAGCACTGCATCGCTCTTTGTGGAACAAACCTCCAGCATGCGCTCAAAGGAGCGTTGACACTGGGGGGACCCCCAAGAGATCTTGGAGCTCTTCACAATCTCCCCCCTGACTGAAATTAATGCCACGCGCTTAACTTGAAGGCATCTGACCTGTCTGTTGAAAGCTTTCCATCAGTTCTCCAGTTACGCTTGGGTCATTGAAAAACTCAAGACTTTTTAACTAAAACTTGATCCATCTGTAACGTTTTATTTGAAGGCGGCATGTAAAAGCGTCTTTGAGAGATACTGCTTGGGGTTTAATTTCTTGAAGGGCAGATTAACCCTTGCGATTCTGTGATTTCATTGTTTTTAACACTGTTGATAGATCGTGTCCTCAGGCTGGAAGCGAAGGGGATTTGGGGTGGGTAGCACCACCACTGGCCGGCTGCGTGGGCGCTGTGGTGGGTTAGCACTGGAAGGTGGTGTCTGTGACCCCTGCAAACGCGACATGCCTTCCCGCAACCCTTTGCTTCTGGTGCGCGCGGATTTCTTTGGTTCCCAACCGGGGTTCCTCGTGAGGGTGGTGGTGAGTTCTGTCGGGGGATGAAGCATCTCAGGTTGCCCACCCGGAGTAGCGTGTTGTTTATGAAGGACAGGGAGAACTTTATCAGTGCCCACCTAAAGGCAGCCCAGGCATTCCAGTGCTCTCCACCAGGTTTTACAATCAACATTGCATTTGTTTTGCAGACGAGCCCTGTCTGGGAGACAAATCTATCTTCTGTCAAATGGAGGTGCTCGCACGTTACTGTTCCATCCCTGGCTACAACAAGCTGTGCTGCGAATCCTGCAGCAAGCGCAGCAGCACCCTCCCGCCGCCCTTCCTTACAGAAGCTGCTGCAACGGCAGAGGACATGATGTTCGACCAGGGCGACCTGGACCTGCCCAGGGCTCCGACGATGCCAACGCCCACGGCGCCCCGCCACGCGCAGCTCCTGCCGGGGAGGAGTCCCCTGGGCAGGCTTCCTTCTGCAGAAGAGGCCGTGGATGCGCACGTCTCCCCGTCCAATGCCAAGCCCAGAGGTGCTGAATTCCCGCAGCGGAGAGCTCCTCAGGCGAGGAAGACTTCTGGTAGGCTGTTGGCTCTGCTGCACCAGTCACCGGCCAACAGCAGCAGTCTGGGCCCTCGGAATGGCCTTGCCGTGGCAGCAGCCATCCCCATGGCACCAGCAAATAACACGGCAGCGGGTGCTCCTTCTCCACCCAGAACCTCCAGGAAGAGCGAGAAGCACGTTGAGAAGAGACCTCAGAGGTCCTCCACTGTGGAAAGATGAACGTCAACGCCTTGCAGAGGATGGGTGTTGAAAGAGGCTTGGTTTGGCGCGTTGGGTGTAATCTCCTTCCTTCGGGACACTATGGTGAGCGCTGCTTTCCGCAAGCAGGACGCTGCGGGTCGTCGACTCGTTTTCCTTGTAAATACAAAGAACAAGAAGTGCTGGTTCACTCTCTCGTTGCTCCCGTCCTCCTCCCGTCGTGCGTTCTCTGGCTAGCTGGAACGCGCTGGGGGAAAGCACCAAAGAATATTCCTGCCCGTGAGCAGAAGTGGCTGAGGGCATCAGCCAAGCTCTAGCACAGAAAAGCGGCCCTGACCTCAGCGCTCACCTCGGGATTTTTGGTTTTAAATGCTCGCATGCAGAAAATGCCCCACTACCAGCGGTACCAAACGTTTACCCCACGCAGAATCCATCAGACTTGTGTTGCTAATTTATCTCTATACAGGGGTATCCCACGAGCAGCTTTGCCGCCCTTGTGTAAATACTGTATAGTGCAGAAAATCCCTATTATTTTTAAGAGTTTTGCGCCGTCAGACAAGTGTTCACCGCTGTCGCATTCCGGACAATTGCTAGGTGCCTGCCATTGCGTACTGCCTTATTTACCTTCCAAGAGCTGATTTTTAAAGCAGCATTATCATAAGAGGAGGAGTTCCATTGCCAGATGAGTTCCATCAACTGACTCTAGGAAAACGGTTGGGGGTTTTTTTTTGAGTATCAATAATGTGATGCTTTCTTTTGAAATGGGGGGTTGAGGGGGGGGAAAGAAGTGTAAACCTGGAGGTACGAGTCCACTTGTAGCCACCTGCCCATCGCAAGGTGTAGAAACCATAATCACGGGGAGGGGAAATGGTTTACCAGGCCCATGAAACGAAGGGCCTACACCGAGCCGGCATTGCTTCTGTCTAGGAGCAGCAGTGCTGTCCCACCAGTCTCCTCCTGCCCAAGGGGCAGGACCCACGTGGGAAGCCCTGTAAGGACGGTAACGTTCACGAGTCCACACGGAGTTGTCTTCTCCAGCTGATCTGGTGGTGATCTCTGAAGCTGAGGAAGCATCGCCAAGGTACAACAGGCGCCAACAAGCAATGGCTGCGGCAAGACATAAAGTAGATAGAATTTTTTTTCCCTACTGGAAGCATGGATTTAAAGGTGAGAGGGGTATTTATTTTTCAGTACGGTTCACCTCCAAGTCTCCACAGCCACGATGCATCTGACTGCAATAATGTCCTCGTAATTTATGTCAACCACCATCCTGCTCACAGTCCACCCCGTCGCGCGCTCTCCTGTGTGTTGCTGTAAAGTACTTGTATATAGGATCGAGAACAAAAGATATTTATTAAAAGTTGATCTCTTGATAGTATTTTATGTACTAAATATTTACAGTAAGGGCAGTTGACTATTCCTGTTGCCAAGATAAAATAAAGAGATGTAGATACACACCTGGACATGCTCTCTCATATGGATGGAACTGAAATTTAAGCTAACTAAACTACTGTAGAGAAATTGTTGATCTTATTCCTTAAAGAAAAAAAATAAAAGTCTTAGGACAGTTCTTTATTGCAGGCATCTTCGGTTTCCGAGTAGGTTTTTCAAGTTTCATGTGCAATTTTTGCTTCCCTGTAAAAAGCCCTCGTGATCAACCCCGTGAGAAGACGAGCGAATACGAACCTCTCAGCACTGGAAAGGCCACGAGGACCCCAGAGATAAAACTGGAGAAACAGCCGTGGCGATTGCACGCAATCGCTAGGACGAAATAAGGATGCAGGGTGCTGTTGGGAGCCTGTACAGGTAAATGAGAGGGGGGTGGGGGACTCCTGCCCCGGGGAGGAAGAGGCTGATGCTCCACCAGACGCAACCCACGTAGGGGCCGGCACCTTCCCAAGCGTTGCTGCTGCCTTTCTGCGAGGCTTCAGAAGGGCCAAGGAATGGGTACGGAGCGGGTGGCACGGACGGTCCCCGAGCCTCAGCCTGAGCCGGGGGGCGTGTTTCTTCCTGTACCCTTCCCCAAAGTCCCCTTCTCTTCTTCTCCGCCTTGACATTCCACATGTTCACCCTTGGGTGTAGATAATCCTTGGACCTTTTTGGTTTCCTCTCTACCCAGCTCATTTCCCTCCCTAGAACGTGTACACTACTGATACTGTTTGTTGTATTGGGGAGCACGTAGCAATAAAATCTTGAACATTAACACGTCTTCCTCTGGTTTGATTCGGCAGGGGAGTTTGGTTTTTTCATTTTTAAGTTTTGTCTTGTGCCAGTTGAAGGGCCATTGACATCCCGGGCATGACCTTTGCTGTCTGGGAAAAAAAGTTCAGTTGAATTAAATATTTAACTTGATTTTTTTAAAAGCCATCAGAGATTGCAGAGGAACTGGGGGTAAGGAAGGAGTGAAGGAGCACATTCCCAGCGGCCCAAAGGCCTCCCAGCACACGCGGGAGCGGAGCATCTGGGTGGAAGCTCCAGCCCCTCGGTCGGGAACACGTAACCTTTGGGGCTCGGCTTTTTGAGAAAGGGGAGCTAAGGGAGCCCGTGCCAGGGGAATGGGAGGGAGCTGCTCTCCTCTCCTGTACCGAGGAGCATTCTGCACCCATGAGGGGCTTTGAGGGCTGTGGTGGGCACCAAAACCAACCAAACAAAACCCCCTCATCCCTATTATTTTAGTACAGGCGCACGTTGTAAAGAGTTCTGGCCTTCTGGTCCATCTATCTTAAGTAAGTTTTGAGACCATCCACTCTCAAACTCTACAAAAAGCTGGGGACAAGCTGGAGGGGTCCAGCGCAGGGCCACCAAGGTGAGCCAGGGACTGGGAAGCCCATCCCATATGGGGATGGGCTGGGAGAGCTGGGTTTGTTCAGCCCTGAGCAAAGGAGGCTCCAAGGGGATCTCATCACCACGTACCAGTACCTAAGGGGTGGCTACAGGGAAGATGGGGACTCCCTTGTCACAAGGAGTCCCATGGAGAGGACAAGGGGGAATGGACACAAGTTAATCCTGAGAAGATCCCAGTTGGACATGGGAGGAAAAAGTTTCACTACGAGAACAGTCACCCACTGGAATAATCTCCCCAGGGGAGGGGTTGACTCCGCCACACTGGGCACTTCAAGGCTCAGCTGGACAGGGTGCTGGGCCATCTCATCTAGGCTGAGCTCTTGCCTGGAAAGGTTGGCCCAGATGGTCCTTGAGGTCCCTTCCAACCTGGGATTCCGCGATTCTATCAGTCTAAACCGCATCCTGTGATATAATCGCTGTGTTTCTCACTTGACAACTATGGGCTTGCATCCATAGCAGGTGTTTCCCTAAAGCCCCGACCTCCCCATGACCCCGAGATGGAGCAACGCGGGGGCAAGTGGGGACGTGTGCTGGGCAGGGGCAGGCACACAGAGCCACTGCATTGCCCCGAGGCTTCGGGGGGGGAGGCAGCTTGCACCATAGTGCCCGGTGTTCAGCGGCGCTGCCTGACCTGGCTCTGTCAGGGACTCTTCCTAAAGGCCGACAGCAATTTTTATGCCATTCTGGTTGCCTATTTTCAAGAACAGTAGATCCAGACTGGAACTTCCAGGGAAAAGCTGATCTGGTAAGAAAATGGGGAGGTCTTCATCTCAGAGGTGGAGTCTAGAGAAACAGGGGGGTTAACCAAGTCTAGAAAACCTTTAGGGTTTGTTAACCCAGCGGAAGAGAGGCCAAGAGGGGGATCCAATGGCTGTGTGTGCACACTTAGCGCGTCTGGATGAGGCAGGGAAGGTGCCTGGAGATCAAGGAAGGATCCTCTCTAGGATCCAGCCAGCACATGGACAGCAAGGAGTGCCCTGTGTCGGGCACGTACCGGCAGCAAAGGCTGGCAGCTGGGAGCCCCGTGCCATGCGCTGACATCCGAGGAGGGGTTCAGCCACCCCAGTCCCACCTGGGATGGGACGGTGCTGCTGGGCACCTACTGGGCCTTCCCAAACCCGCGAGCGCGGCGCAGCACGGCAGCAGCCTTGGCCTCCGCTACAGCTGCCCACGGTGGGGGCAATAACCCGGGGTGGGGTGGTTCGCCCTGGGATTTGCCAGCAGCATTTTGGTATTGGATCTGTAATTACTGATTTCGATGCCAAGTGATGCCATGAAAAATGCTAAATGACTTTAAAAAAGGCAAACCAGTCCTACAAAGAGGCCAAATTTCCAAGCCAATTCTCTGACAAGAGAGGTTTGCATCGCTCAGTTGGGCTTCAGGTCTTGGCTGAACCTCTGGTTTACTCCGTCCTGCCAAGAACTCCATTCCCCCAGTACCTTCTTGACAGCTTTAAGCTGGGCAAGTCAATCTGAAGCTCGTGCCCAATTGAATTCAAGTTCTTGTGGAGCTCACCAATACTAACATTTAATAAGCAAGAGCCTTTAAAAAACCTGCTAAGATCCATTTAAGCACCACTTTCGAGCGCTAACGAGCCCTGTTTATCACAGTTGAGCCCACAAGGTGTCAGGGTGAATGGTTTGCCACCAGCAACAACAGCAGTTGCCAACAGGGCTGAGTTTCCACTTCTGGAGGGGCTCGGGGAATGACAACGCCGGAGCTCTTGTCGCACCAGATGGCAGCCTCAGCCTGTTACCAGGTGAGAGCCTGTTAAAATCCGGCTTAAAAGACTCCTGCAAGGCCAGCGGGCAGTTCTGCAGGCGACAGCATTGGGCTGTGAACCCTTCAGAAGTAGCCGAGAGGAAACATGTTTGGGCTGGCCACCCTGAGAACTAAAATTAAGGCAGCGATTCCAGCAGCTGCAAGCCCTATGGCGGGAAGGTGCCACCCAGCTCTGTTCAGGGGAGAAGTCCTTTCTCCTGAAAAGTTTTTAACAGCCTGGAGGCCGTTCAGCCGTCAGCAAAGGGATTTTCACACCGGGCAAAACAGAGCTGGTTTATCCTGGGGGCTTTGCGCTTTCCTGTGTTACACAAGGTTTTTGTCACACTCTGAGGATCAGGCCTGAGGGAGGGTGGGGTGGGTGTGGGATGGACCAGCCCTTATTAACTGCAGCAAA